AAGTCCGGGTCGGGTCCGATACCGATACACATCTAGCGAATCATATCACGAAGACAATCCTTAAGTAGTCAATCTTTTTTCTTTTCCAAAGTCGTACTAGCGCCTTGAGTTTTGAAGCTTGAAAGAAGTACTCAACATTTCAAAATGTTCAGGTGATAAGTCTAGAGAGCTGGAGAATTACTGGGACCAAGCCTTGTAAGGAGGATCCTTAACCAAGATGTTTGGAGGGCTTTCCTTCGGTATCTAATAACCTTGCTTCTGCTCGCCGCTGGAGCACCTCTCCTAACTATTGCCCATTTCTTATGGAATCATTTTTTTAGGAAGGGCAGCGCGACAGTTTGGGTTTGTTCAGGCTACACCTTTGGACGGACTCCCAGTTCTTCCTGGAGTGCCAGATGTTAAAAAAATTCACTTCTACAATTGAATCTCTATCGAAATAAAGAACTCTTTTGATTTTTATTAAATGTATTGACTACTAATAGGAAATCACTTTGACAGCTTCTACTCGTGTCCTAGCTCGTATGAGAGCTAGATTTGCCTCAATTGCTTGTCTCTTACCCTCAGCTCTACTCAAGTTAGCTTTAGCTATTTCTCCCTTAAAAAGGAGTTGGATAGTGTCCCATAAGCGTGGACCTATGCCCCACTTGTTCTTCCGCGTTATCAGCCCATGTCTTTGAAATCCAACGATCGTAATGCCAGCCTTTGGCATATAACCTAGGTCAGTGCCCCATCATTGTCACTCTTTCTGACATCTAGCACAACGGTATCTGGTTCAATGTTCGCTAATGTCTCTCTGGTCTTTTTCTTTTTGATCCTGGAGATCTTGTGTTGGCAAGGGCTCTACTGGCCCAAAATGTGTCTTAAAGTTTATCGGCGCCCGTTTTTCTTAGAAAAAAGCAAAATGGGGTGTGAAACCAATTATGACCTTTGTATCACCGCATGTCCATAAGTCATCTGTTGTTCTTGTAGAGTTCAAATGTCCAAGCTCATGTTCTTCTCAATTTCATTTGAGTTTGAATTAAGCCTTTTATTAATGTCTTTTGAGTTCAAATGAGTCTAGGTACAAGTCCCATTTTTGTTCAATCAAGTTCAAGTACGGCCTCATGTTCACCCGAAATTTCGGCAGCCTCCCGACATCTCCCCCGTTTAGGGAAAAACTACGAGAAAACTGGGTCTTCCCACCACGCGCAATAAAGGCGTGTATGGTAGGTGTCCTCGGACAAGGACACCGCGGCCGTGATTTTTCTTCCCACCACGCGCAATAAAGGCTTGTATGTGGTCTTTGACGGTACCTGTTTAAAAGACACAATTTGTTTTCCCCCCGCTCGGGGGTACTTATGAGTGACCCTTCCTCACCGTAGGTGTTGCACTGGGGTCCCATCCCACCATGTGCAATAAAGGCGTGTATAGGCGGTTTTCCGGACCTCCACGAACATTGAAGTAGGGTTTAGGTGATTACTCGCCTCGTCGTAGGCACCGCATCGTGGTCCCATCCCACTACGCACAATAAAGGCGTGTATGGACAGTTTTCCGGTCCGTCGCAAACAATGAAAACAGGCTCTCGAGTTTAAGGTGATTACCCGCCCCGTCGTAGGCGCCGCACTGGGGTCCCATCCCACCACGCGCAATAAAGGCGTGTATGGACGGTTTTCCGGTCCGCCGCTAACTTTGAGAGCGAGAATATGAGTTTAGGAATTCCGTACCTTCGCGGGGTTTGTCGGCAGTGGAGGCTCGAGGCATAATATCTCTCTTTTTTTGCAACAAATTACGATTAAGAATAATTAATAATATTAATTATAATTAACTAAAATTAATTGTAATTGATTAATTATAATTAAAAATGAATAATTATAATTAATAAAAAAGTTAATTACTAAAATTAATTATCATTAATAATAACTAATAATAAATTATGTAGATTAATTACAATTAATTATAATTAATAATAATTAATATTGCTTAATTATACTTAAGAAAATTAATTATAATTACTTAAATAAATTATAATTAATTATGACTAATTATGATTTAAAAAAATCATAATTAGAAAATTAGTTATAATTAACTTGAAATTATAATTAATTTAAAATCAATTATAATTAATTTAGACTAATTATAATTAAAAACAATTAATTATAATTAATGAAACTTAATTATAACTAGTTAAAAGTTAATAAAAATTAATTGTAATTAATTGCTATTAATAACAATTATTTACAACAAATCACAATCGACTTTGAACAGGTCGTTTGGACATAAGACTTAGGCAGAGATTGAGCAAGATTTGAACTAATTCCTGTTTAATGTGGTCTGATGGTCCCGTAAATCTCACTGCCGAATAAACCTTCTATTTCCCCTCTTTTTTTTTTTGAGATTTACGGGACCGAACCGAAGAAGCGCATGAAAGGGACAAAGCTACCTTCACTGCGAGCCGTTCTTTCTTCCGATCAGAAATGTCGGAACTTCCGAACCTACAGGAATGGGCGTCGAAGGAGGCGGAAGGGGCTCGGGTATGTGTGCAGAAATCTCGCTTTCTCTCTTTCTCTCTCTCTCTCTGCGGGATGGAGGAGTGATGTAAACAAAGGGGGGGTCAAATCAAATCCAAAAAAATTTGATTTTGACTTCCCTTGAGCTTGCTAGCTCATTAATTTTTGAGCTGGAATTTAGCTCATTATGAGCTGGTTTTTAGTTCATTTATTGAACTAAGAGTTAGCTCATTATGAGCTATGTTTTTAGTTCCTTATTAATTTATTAGTAGCTCATTAATTTTTGTCTCTTCTCCTTCCCCTTGTACATTCGTTTCCCATGGATGGCTCTTGGGTTCCCGTGCCTTGACTCCTTGGTTTCCCCGGTTGGCTCTTGGTTTCCTGCGGCTAGCTCTTGCGTTTCCATGCCTTGGCTCCTTGATTCCCATGGCTGGCTCCTTGATTTTTGTAGGTGGCTGTTCGGGTTCCGCCTGGGCTGTTTTTTCGTGACGTTTGGGGGGCTTTTCCGTGGCTATGGTGCTTTATTTCCTGGAGTTGATTGTTGGCTTTTCATTTCCCTTATTTAATTAAGAATATGAAGGGTTTTTGGGGCTGTTTGTATTCCTCTCTCATGTCTATAAATAGTAGATGTTTTGTGGTTGTTTTAGAAATGTTATGTGAATGATTTTTGAAGATGTAAACCTGCGGGTTTTGTTGGAAAAGCTTGCGAGCTTGTTCTATCACTTTTTCTTCTCTTCTTCTAGGAAGGCTTGCGAGCTTCTCCACCCTTCGTTTTGGCTTCTAATCTCTTTTGTCTCTCCGCAAGTTTTATTCCACCTGTATCCTTCTTCTCAATGAAAGCAACTTTAGGAGTTGTCTTTAATTTGTGTTTGTGTCGTTTGTAAGAGTCAAGTTTGTAAGTCTTTTATTTTATATAAGTAAAGTTTGCTTAATTTGTCTTTTTTATTCCTTTTATATTATCTAGAAAGGTTGTATTTTTCTAGCAAAAATTTGGGTCCCTCTCCCAAATTTTTTCTTACATCAAGGAGTCGGAAGGATCGGGGTTTGTGGTCGGAGACGAGAGGGGCTTGGTTCGGTCTCTGTGGTGAGAGGGGTCGGGGCAGTAGAGAGTTAGCCTCTGATGTGGGAGAGGGAGGCAGGAGGTCGGAGGGCTGCGGCTGGGGTAGAGAAAGGATCGGGCAAGGAGGTTCGTGGATTTCAACAGAGAGCGGAGTGTGGGAGAGCTGGAGGTCGTGAGGTATTCGCGAATGGAATATCCAGCAATGAGAGCTTTGCTTATAGACGCAATTCGGGATGCGATCGAGGCTGTATACTGGTTTTACGGAGGATTTTGCGGAGAAGCGATTGTTTCGGCGCCGAATTCAGCAGAATTTATGCTGATTTCTGGAGAAAAATCAGGAGGATTTTAGGGACTCAACGGGTATTAAGTATTCTTTTTGTTTCTTCCCTTTGGGTATTATACGTTGCTCAACATTTATGTAAATATAATAGAGTTTTGATTTGTAGATACAATTATTGTGATGTCATCGACCCTATTCCCTTACTGACATAGATGATTGTTAGCAGGAAAAATGGATGAATAGTTAGATGAAAAAAATGAATTCATTGTTGGTGAGGAATATTTGAAATGAAATACTATTGCAAAAGTCATTGGTGTTTATGACAAAAGCTACAACATTCGAGATCGATCTAATGGAAAAGAAAATGAATCTTCAAGTAGACATTACATTGTTGCTATTGAGAATGAAGATGATGAGGGATCATGGAATAGGAGACAATGCTGATGAAGTGAATGAAAGCTTTTTTGACTTCTGATTTTTATAATGATTCCCAAGAATGCTAGATTAATTTTTTACAAAATCACAAAACTTAAAAATTGAGTGTAACATTTTGAATTATGAGGGATTAATGTGTTGATTACTTAAATTTGTGCATCACTTTGGTAGTTTTTATTTCACAATGGTTTATTTTTTAATTTAATGCTATTTTATAATATTACACATTTGTTTTAATAATTTTATATTGTACATCATGTTTAAATTGGCACATGTCATGCCATGTGCTATGTGCCATGGCTCCATGCTGAACTTTATACTATGGTGCGCCATTCAGTATTGACAAGTATGATTTTAGCAATTTTGTTTGTCCCGCTGTCATGTTAGTGCCCAATGTTCATATCTATGCTTTCTATAGGATGATTTTTCATTCCGATATGATATTCTTGAAACGCCACATAACATGATCTATCTTTTAAATAGTTCTCACCATGGTTGTTTATTTTTTATATTAATTTGAATTTGGAGAGTTTTGATTATGAACAAAACTTAAAAATTTATGTTTGCTTGGCTTTATTTAGAATTTCGTAGTGTTGGTGCCTGACGAATTTTATTTATATTTTTTAGATTAAAATTTTCCATTTTACACCTAGGCGTTATCTTAATTGGCATTTAGAATTTTGGTTGTGTTGTTAGATTTTCAGTGGAATTAATAACGGACACTTATTCAGAATTTCAGGCCTTCCTTGATTTTCGATGCTCTGTTATCGAAAGGCGTGCTGGATTTCAGCTTTCTCAAGCAAAAGAAAGGAAGCATGTTGTAGAGGTATTATAAATTTTTGTGAAGGAAAGTTAATGTTTTCAACTATGATTTTTGTGCTTCATGTGGAGATTTTCTTCTTTTGTCTTTAACCTAACTTTGTTGTCGTCCCTTAGGGTATTATTATCGGACTTGACAATTTGGATGGAGTAATCCGCACAATTCGGGAGACATCAAATAATGCAATGGCTTTGACCACTTTGATGAAGAGTAAGGATGTGTCCTCTTAATTGCAGTTTAAACTAAAATCTAGCTGACTTAATTTCAATTTATGTTGTTCATTTTTTAAAACTTGTAGCCTTCATTAATTTTCATTGAGTGCCATGACATGAAATGAGGCATTCTTTGAGAGCACATCCAGAAGTTCAACATCATCGTTCATGCATGCTTCTGGTTTTAACTAAGGTCATGGAATAATTCTTCTGTGCAAGATCATTCGTTTCAATATATACTTGGACTCCCTTCCTTTTTCTTGATTAGAAAGATCTTCACTAGCCTTTTATACGCATTCTTTAGAGCTATGAATTATGTTACACTGACCTTGTCGATTTTGCTTCTTGTAATCCTTCCTTTGAGCCCTTCTGATACATCTATCAGTTCTAAGTAGCTTCTTTAATTTCTTAAACATCATTGATGCATTCTGGAGTCGATTATATAGTAAAGATGGATGATTGTAAAATTGTTATAAGGAGTATTCAGGTAAAAGTTTTAAATGGCATATGACATATGAAGCTTCTATAAAACAAGGTATATTTTTTACATTACACTTACAATAAAAAAAAATAAATTAACTATTTCCTAACTTTTGAGGCTTGTATCTCTTACAAATTGCATAGAGTCATTCATTGAGGTGCGCCTTAGTTTTATTGAGGCAGACCACTCATCACATTAAGGTGAGGTGTATGCCTTGTACTTTTTTTTTCAAAATAGTGCCAATCTCGCTTCTTATTACACAGCTTTAAACATTTGTTAAAAGTAGTTGATTAGAATTACTTGCTTTAATTGATAACTTATTACATAATTATATTTCTTGAGAGTCTATGGTTTGGATGGAAAAAATAGTTTGGGATCTCTAATATATCAATTAAAAAGGGGAAGTTCTGATATTAAAAAAGGCAGAACCATTCTGAAGTCCCAAAACATAAAAAATGAAAATCAATCAAGGTTACAGAAAGTGACTGTGGGCTCCGAAAATTCGGGCCGGTCCTCCCCCGCTTGCTTTTCTTCGAAGAAGTTTTAATGGATTAAGTTCCAGGGTAAATTTTGGAAGACAGGTGGGTTTATAGATAAGACACTACCCTGAGATTTTGCCCTCATTTTGCGAGGAATTTATGATATGAGTTCTGGTTTCCTATAGGTGCAAGCCCCTATAGTTAATTATCCCTCCTGATCATGAGGGAGAACTTTCGATTAAGGCTAGTCGTCAATCAGATACGTAGATAATATATATATCTGGCATATAGTAGCATCATGAGTTTGGGATGTTGGGAAAATTTGAAGATATGATATTTAAAATAGAAATTTCACCATCTTGCACTTAAAACGGATGGTGGGGGAATGAATGATAGACCCAATCAAGATCCCATGGTTCCGTCTTCCCGGGCCATCGTGGTCCCAGGTCTACTTAGTCAGAGGAGGTAGTCATCCCAACCTGACAGGTTGATCCTTGTCGGCAGCCATGGGTTGTTTCGTCCAAGGGTACCTTGTAGACTTGGGGTGGGTGTTTGTCTAAGAGGACAAATTTGAATCCAGCTTAGTTAATAGAGGGATTTGTGCCCTATCAATTATATCCTATTGATTCATATCTCAGGGATTTGATGTCACTAAGGAACGTATTGACTCTAGCTATAACCAGTATCTCGTGGTGCCATTTGGCAGCAAAGCAATTCGGTTCAAAGAGCCCCGGGTCATAATCGTTTATCCTGCAGTGCCATTTGGTGAGAAAATCGCTGGTTAGAGGACACATACCACGTCCTTACTGGCAAAAGATTAATTGAGAATAGATCCTAGTGATATTTCCGACTAGGCATTAGTTCTATGTGAGCTGAAGTATTTTTCAATTTGTCTAGGCAAACTGTTGCGAGGATGGATGGATTTTATTTTAAGTGATTTGATGATTTATTTCAATTTTAAATATTTTAATCTTGAGATTTTTAGGATTTTTGTGATTTTAGGTTTTGAGCTGTGAAAACTTTTAGGATTTTGAATTTTATGGGTCTCTAAAAGGCATTTTGAATATTTGAAATTAACCCCTCCGGTTGAGATCTACGATCTACACGGCTATCATTGGGGTGACTTTGAGGTAATTTCCATTTATGGATTGAACCTTGTCGACTCCGTCGAGTTGTCGACAGAGGATCGGGTTTCGTAGGCTTTATATCTTTGTTGGTGTGTTTTTTTTTGAAGTCTTTGAAGGCCTTATATGAATGTACAAAATAAATATTACGGTCAACCTCGCGACCGTATATTTATTTAATGGTTCGAGCTGTGTTGACTCCTATTTACCCGCATAAAAGGATCAGGCTCAAACTTGGGTTTATTTTCTGACCTGCACAACATCCCTAGATGTCACGTGTGTACTTATAACACGCTTGCCGGGGCACATGCTAGTGTTTGGGGGGTATTTTATAATCATTTGTTGAACCTTGTCGACTTATATTTATCTGCTTAGGAGGATCAGTTTAAATTTATTAACCTGTGCAACATCCCTAGACGTCACATGTGTCATACAACACGCTCGCCTAGGCCCATATGGGCGTGTGATTGCACATGCCCTTTTATTTACTTATGTGGATGCATATTACAGTGCACGTGCGGGGGCATTCTTAGAATATTTGTAAACGCCTTCTGTCCGCTTGCATAGATGTTGGGGATCCGATAGCGTTTTGTAATAGCTTCTTGATTGAGTTGTTTGCTCCTTTATACAGGTAGACTGTCGTGCACTATTTAATGCTTTCTGCAGTTGTATCATTGTTCACTAACGAATCTCCTGCTTTGGCTGGTAGATGTTGTCATCTTCTACGTCCTCTTTGTATCTTTCTTGTGGATGGTGTATTAGGTATACAACGGGTCTCTTAGTGGCCCGTAAGCATTTACATTTGTTGTAGTTATCAGTCATCTTGTTCATAGATGATATTTTGTGTACAAAGCGGGTCTCCTGTAAATACCCGTGGGTGCCTGGATTTGTTGCATGTCGTACATCCTCACTTGTAAGAGGAAGATGTATCTGGCTTCCGTTGAATTGTTGTTGATTACGGTGGTGCTACAATATTCTTTGCTACGACAACTTGTAGGTGTTTTACATTTGCTGGAGGTGTCCCACCTCTGCTTGCAAAAGAGGGTTGATGTATTTCCTGACACTAAGTGGTCGTCAATCACAAAGACGTAATATCCATTGTTCCCCATTGGCTATGAATGTTGCATCTACGACACATCATCCATTATTGTTGGTGAATACTTGCATTTATTGCAGCTCTTCTTGCGTCGCACTTGCAGATAATACACTGCATGCGTTAAACATCTCGTATGGTGGCTCGTAGTTATCTGTGCGTGCTGCCTTTCTTTCATTTATGCTTACAACTGATATATGGTGCGTAGAGTGGTTCTCCTACGACTGCTCGTAGGAGCCTATGTTTGTCTTAGTCTTCTTGTTTCTTGTTCGTCGTCATTCATAGGTAGATAATGTACACATGGCAAATTCTCTATATTTTCTCGTAGGTGCCCATATGCATCGTAGATCTTTGTCTTTGCTTGCAAATATAACGCCACATGAGTATCTATATACATAGGGGAGTCATTGTACATGTAGTATATACCCTGTCATTATCTGTATTCAAGTTGATTGATGATCTATTACATTCATTGGCATCTTCATCAGTAGCTCCTTTGATAAATTTACAACACTCATAAGTCTTTCTCCATGGATTAACACCTTCATTGTGTATTCTACATGATCACCTTCACAAGCTATCCACTGTGTGCATTATGGCTCATTGGTTATTTGATGTATGTGCTTGCAAGTTAACTTTGTAGAGAAGTGGTCATATCTCCATGTATTGTTTGTAAGTGTATCATTGCATTCATAACTCGTTCAATACCATCATCCATTGATGGATTACGGTACTTGCTTGCGAGCTGACCTGCTTTGATAACAAGACTTTATATAGATAACTACATACTAATACTAGCAAAGAGATGCTGCATTTGCTTGTTGATATTCAATCAAATATTTCAGAGCTTTTATTAGCTTTTGCATCTTAATGTTTGATCAACTATTCAAAGTTAATTCCTTGTTATTTATCCGAGTTTGGATCTAATCATAGTCCCTTGCAGTGTATTTGCAAATTCTTTGCTATCCGAATCAACTTTAGCTCAGAGCACCTTCGTTCAGACCTAACTTCATGTAGTTCGTTAAAATCCCAATCTCTTATGGTTCATTCAAATTCTTTGTGTCGTATTTAAGTCAAGTTCATTCCATTTTAGGTCCCCAGTTGTCCGATTAGCAAGTTCAAGTTCTCTTGTAACATGTTCAAATCAATGCCATGCTCAGCTCAAATCAAGGTTCTATCATGGTCTTCTGCGGTTCATTGCCATTTGCTTACATTTAAATTTATTTAAGTTTAATTTGCATGTCCAAGTTTCCTGTAATTTATTCAAGTTTGCAAGTTCTCATTTATTATTCAAGTCTTGTTCACTAATGTTCAAGTCAGTGTTCAAATGAAGTCAAGTCCATGTCCAAGTCCAAGACCAATTTTCATGTTCACCAGAAATCCAGTAGCCTTCCGGCGTCTCCCCCATTTATGGGACAAAACCAAGAGTCATAGCTTGCTCGCCACATCAAGAAAGATGTGCATGGTCGGTGTCGGGGGACACCGCAGCCGTAGTCTTCTTCCCCCATTACGCCAAGAAAGGCGTGCATGGGTCTTCAGGGGTACATGTTTGTAAAAGCAATTTTTCCCACATACGGGTACTTATATTTTCTTCCGCCGAGCTAAGAAAAGCGCGCACAGGGATTGCGCGCCTCGCCATAAGCATCACACCGAGTTTCCTCCCACCACGTTAAGAAAAGCATGCATAGGGATCCCTCGGCATGCAGCAAACGTCAAAAACGGAACTTTAGTTGGGCATTACCCGCCTCGTCGCGAGCACCGCAACGAACTTCCTCCCATCGTGCTAAGAAAAGCGCGCATTGGTGGTTGTTCGCCGCGCTA